ATTTGATTATATTTATCTACAGTTAGTTACACGAATTCAAATATAAAGTTTAACAAGTAATTTATTTATAATCTTGAATTTTAAATAATATATACCAATAAATAGTATTTCATATATATAAAAATAATTTTTTAAATTTTTTGTTAAAATAGATTCTTTCCGTGGAATATGAGTTTAAATGAATCAATGGGTTTTGACCATAAACGATGGTATGTCGTAGAAACCATTATCCTCAATATAATAAAGACTGGTTGCTACATGTTGTTACCTATTACAGTCCCAATCCTACTGATCATGGATTTATCGTCCGAGATATTGGATTGAAATCCTCTCCTCCACAAACCCTAATTAAACACCCATTGATTCAGAAGAGATTGAGAGTTGCAGGTGGAGTAACTGATGGGGATGCTATTTGACGACGTAGTAATAATCAAGCAGGCAGAGAAGGAAGATGAAGCTACTATGATTACAATCAATTGTCCTGACAAAACTGGTCTTGGTTGTGATCTTTGTCGCACAATCCTCTTCTTCCGTTTGAGCATTGTTCGCGGTGGTATGTTTATACTATTTTTTCTCTTCGATTTCTGCAGTTGCCTTGTGATACTTTTTGGTGCTTTAATTTGTTCTTCCATTAAAGTTCAAAATCCGTGCATTTTACAGAGAATTTGGCGTTGTTTTAGATACTTGGATTGCTTTTATGATTACCGGTTGGAGTTTTTAGTTCAATCAATCTCTCTATAAGGCCTTTCGAGTTTATGTTCCTCATCATTTTGTACGAATTGATGAAAATAAGACAGTGTTTTTAATTGGATTTGTCGCTTAGATGTATTTGCTAATTGCTATCCTCTTCATGATCTCATTCAGATGCTTGATACTTATTCTCATGGTGTAAATTGTAAAGTTACAGGTCATCAGATATGCCAAAAAAGGTTGAATAGGCAGAAAAATGGTATCAAAACACAAGATTCCCTTTCAAATTTCACTGTTACACCATCAGAAACCTATTTCTGGGATTACTTTAATACTTTATGCCTTGTTCCTCATATTTGCTTCAAATTTGTGTTTTCAGTTTTTGTCTAAATGATTTATAGAATATAGCTGTTTGCTGGTGTATCTGTAGATGTATCCACGGATGGAAAATGGTGTTACATAGTGTTTTGGGTAGTCGGAAAACCAGGTACAATCTGGAGTTTATTGAAGAAGAGACTATTGGAGGCTTGCCCTTCTTGTTCTTCGGCTAATACACTCATATTTTACCCACCCGAATCACGGCCACCCAAGCCTGCAGATGTGTTTCTTCTTAAGTTCTGTTGTCGTGACCGACAGGGTCTATTACATGGTATACTATATTCATTTGCATACATTTCAAATTCAGTAATTTGTGTTTTGAATCTGTAGCTGTAATTCATATTTTATTTGGCAGATGTGACTCATCTTCTCTGTGAGCTTGAACTTGTTATTCAAAGAGTGAAAGTATCGACCACCCCTGATGGGATGGTGATGGACTTGTTTTTCATCACTGATACCAGGTTAAAAACCTTTTAATCTTGTCTACTGTATAGAATATTCGTTTTGTTTTCTGTGTGAAAATCTACTAATTTTCATCTGTGAACTATCGGAGTACCTTCTTTGATCATCAAGGGAATGAAATACAATTGGTTTTCATTTCTGTTCAAAGCAAATAAAAAAATCTAAAATTTATTTTATCCCAATATAAAGCAAAGAAAAATATGGTTCCATATGCGCCGTTGTCCCCTTAATATCTCCTCATATCAAGTAATGGAATCCATTATATCGTTGTAATTTGTTTCAAATCATATAATTAGAACCCGAAAAATAGAATTGTTAAATGGTCAAAAGGAATTGAGCCTATATATATTTATGGACTATATATGGTCTTGTTTAAGGGAATGTTTGTTAGCAGCTTAATGAGCTTAATGAGACTCAGCTTATTGGCTCAGCTATACATGACTGTTTGGTAGTGGTTTAGTGATATAGAAAGTGGCATATATAGTAAGCTTCTAAGTGGGAGCTTTATGTAGAAGGCCAAGTTTTTTCTGAACATGTCCCACCCAATTAAAAAACATCCTTCTTCCATCTATGAAGAAACCCCCCTAAACAAAAACCTTCCCACTGTATACAAACAGATTAATCCACACAAACAACTTTATCTATACAGGACCTAATGGATAGACAACCAAACAGCCCTTAAGTGTTCATAATTTGGTCAAAATGAATTTGTTCTATATATTTCTGGAGTTGGATCTTGGACGGCATGGCATGGTGTTCCTAGTTTGCAGCGTTATTTTCTTTTAGCTGATAATTTATTGATTGCTAGTAGAATTTATAGTGCTTACACATATTCTTCTCAGGGAACTTCTACATACGACAAAGAGAAAGGAGGATACACATGATCATTTAAAAGCTGTTCTAGGGGATGCTATGTTAAGTTGTGATATAGAAATGGTTGGTCCTGATTTTACCGCTTGTTCTCATGGCCCACCATTCTTTATACCTCCGGCGATCACAGAAGACACGTTCAATTTAGAGATGTTTGACGAAAGTAAACATGGGTCCCAGTCCCTCCATTCCGACAGTGTTTCAGTCACGGTGGATAACTCACTCAGTCCAGCCCATACGCTTGTTCAGATTGTTTGCGGTGATCACAAAGGACTGCTCTATGATATAATGAGAACTTTGAAGGATTACAACATCCAGGTACTACTCATTGAGGTTAAAATTGTCATACTATGATTCCCAAAACTTTTCATTTAACTCTAGGTATTGTTTTTGTGTAATAGATCTCATACGGGCGATTTACAAGAAAAGAGAAAAATGTTTGTGAGATTGACTTGTTTATCGTGCAAGCCGATGGAAAGAAGTTAGTGGACCCTAGCAAACAGAGTGCATTATGTTCTCGCATTCGCATGGAATTATTTCGTCCTCTTAGAATAACCTTGGTGAACCGTGGTCCTGACACTGAGTTGCTTGTTGCAAATCCTGTGGAGTTATGTGGGAAGGGGCGGCCCCTTGTATTTTACGACATTACCCTAGCTCTCAAGATGCTTAATATGGACATCTTTTCGGTACTTCCTCCTGCATTCTTTACAACCAAGAGTTTATGCATTCTTGTTCTGTTTAAAATATGAATACATTCTTGCAGGCTGAAATTAGTAGGCACTTGATCGGAGGCCGGGAATGGGAAGTTTACAGAATTTTACTTGACGACGGAGACAAATTGTCTGTGCCGACAGATAAGATTGAGGAAGACGTTCGGAAAATGTTGATGGGTTGGGATTGACCATGACCACAACCACGACCATGACCACGATAATGATTCTCATAGTTTACATATATCTCAATCTTCATCAAATGTTTATAGGTTTGACTTTTTTTCATAACATTTCTCCTAAGTTGACTAAAAGTTGATCCAAAGCTACAAGACCTTAAGCCAGATTGCATAATGTAGGATGGTAGTTGCAGTAGGGAGATGTAGAGAACACTACTAAATGGAAGACTTTTACCTACGGATTTTCTCCAGAGAAATCCATCGCTAAAGGGGTGATTCGTCACAAAACTGTCATAAAACTTGGCTCAAAACAGATTACCCAGGTATTTTATGGGTGATCTGTTGGTATTTTCTTGAGAAATATCGGATTCTACCAGAATCATTGGTATTTTCAGGGTGATCAGTCAGTAATCATCAACGAAAATTTCCTTGGATGATTTGTGTAGGTAAAAGTCATTTGTTTTGCAGTGGAAATTGGGTTGAGCCAGAAGTGGTGCACTCACTGTAAATAGCTTCCAAGTAGTACATAATAAGGGAAGATGATATGGAAGTTGATGGTTAAAGATTCTGGAAAGCATGATCATAGTTGCAGTAAGATCACTTGTTTGTACATATTTCACATTTCCTGAATGAAATATCGGTAATGTACATGTTTTCGCTTTTTAGCAATCTACAATATTTGTTGTAGAGTTAGCTCAACTGACAAATAAAAGCTAGACTTTGGGGTTTTTCCTCATATGTTGCTTGTACATGACATATTGACATGACAAAATAGATGATGGTTCATCGTTTGATAAAACATGAATTGACAGAGCATGACTGGTAAAATGATTAATTTATCTCTAATGGGTTGTTTGTATCTTTTCTATATTTTGATTATTTTATGTAACTGATTAAAAATTATAATAAAATAAATATTTTTTTATAACTCAATACATCATTATAAAGTTTTTGTCAGACGATTAAAATGGCACTAAAATATGAAGTTTATGTAATTTTCAAATTTTGTTTAATACCTTTCTCTATGTAATTTTTTATTTACTAATATTTAATAATTAATATAAATTAATCAAAATATGAAAATCGTATAAAAGCAAAAATCCAAGAATATTAGAAAGCTTAAAAAGAATAAAATACAATAAACAAATTAAAAAATGAATAAAATGTAAAGATGGATGTGTATTAGATGTTATAGAAGATAATTATGTTTTATTTTGAGGTTATATTGATTAAATATGGGTCTGTTTCATCTTATTCCATGAGATGAGAATGGAATAGACCTGTTCTACTTTGTTTTAATTTACCTTGTCTATTATACATAAAAATCTTGTCAAACACGAAACAATATTCCTGTCCTGTTTTATTATATTCATAACGTCAAAGATTCACTTGTTGCAATACCAAATGTGTACTTAATTGAACCCATCTGACCCATGATTTGGACTTATGACGATGATGCTATTTATTGGTGTTGTTCTTGGTGATGCATTTTAATTGTACGTAATGTGTTTTTGACCAAGTAAGTGACTATGACAATTGCTGAATGATCTAGTGTAAAATGATTAAGAGACTCTTATGATGTAATATAAAATGAAATATAATTGTTTGGTAATTATTTCAAATGAAATTAAGACGCTGAATGGTTAAGAAAAACTCAAGATACAAAATCATTTAGAGGGCTTTAGAACCATTAAGAGACAAATTTTTTTTTGCCACTAACTATCAAGAGGTAAACAAACATCTCGTAACTACAATCTCATCCGGTCCCACATTACATTTAGTCCCAAAAATCCAGTGTTATTGGGCTATTATTTAATGAATTACCAATAATAATAATCTATACTATCTTATTAAGCAAATTTAACAAGTCTTAAAGTCTTAAAATACTAAAGGACCAAAATACCCTTTATACTACCTTTAGGTCACTTTTTCACTTTTGCATCCCTTCCTCTCCTCACATACACTCACCCCCTCACATACACTTACCCTCTCACAACCGATCTTTTTAAAATTATAATTTTAAAGTTACATTTTATACCCCCATAATTAATTAATTAATTTACTTTATGTTTCTTTTTAAATGTTTCGTTTTAAACTTTTATTAAATTAACATACATAATCATATATCAATTAAAACATGTTTAAAAAGTACATTTTTATTTTAACAAGTTACAGAATTATAATCGTCTCGTTAATACCTTCGAAATGAGTCCAATATTGAATAGTTTTTGACTTAATTATATTATTATATATTATATATACTGTGAAAAAATATTTTTAATATTTATGATTTATACTTTTATAGTTATTTATTTATATATATACTATATATTTTGGGGTTAGACTGTCCAAATTGCACTGTATAATATATTCTGAATTAATATGTTCTTGGTTTTTTTGAAATATATATGTATTAATTCAACCTTAATCTGAGTTTCTGGACAAGAAAGAGGGTAATCAGTTGAAATTTCATTCTAAAACCCATCTTTTTTGGTCTTTTCATGACTTATGATTTATCAAATTTGTAGTTTTCTTTATTGGTTTTGAATGTTTATCTTAAAACTCAAGTTTCTTGGTTCTTTGCTCTTGGTGTAAATCGAACACATTTGTGGAGTCGTTTAAATATGTTGGATTTTAAATATATTGGATTTTAAACTGTCATACAATTTTTTCCATTGATAGTCTGTAATTGGAACCATGACTCTTATTTATTCAAATTGTATTAATATGTAAAGACCAAGTGTAACCTATATCATCGTTAAATCTTATCTWATAAAAYCAGTGRAACTTCAAAATCGTTAAAATTCATGGCTCCCGCCACATTGCACGGATACACAACTAGTAATTTATTATTGGACGATATTTTTTCAAAACCCTTTTAAATTACAAGATTATAAACCTCGTGGGAATTGGGATGAACCCTCTGGGGCGCACATTTAACAGGGTCCATGCCTCCATGGTCCTTGAGCTATTTTGAGGGCCACCACCGACCGCCGTAGAAGGCGGAGGCCGATGAGGAGGTAACATAATGCTTTTATATCCAAGATCCAATGTCACCCATGTTCGTTTCTGATTATAACCATTAATAATAATAATAATAGTAATTAAAACGTGACAAAAAAATACCAAATTATAGTAACATCGATCTATCTCGCTTATTGTCTTCCTCCACTGCTCCGGTGGCGATGGGGCGGTCAAAGGCGGCACCACTGTCTCTGTGTCGGTAGACGACGCTTCTGTCTTCTCTCGAAACTTCTTGTAGATATCACCGTTGTATAAGTCTTTTGTCAATTCGGATCACTAACACAAGTGAAATGAAACATGCAAAGATTGTCGTTGCATTTATAATAAAAAACGACATTTTATAACAATCGATACCGGTAAATGTTAGATCTTCCCCGTCTTTTCGGACCATTGCGTGTGCTTTTAATTGCTTTGTTGCTTCTTTATCGTAAAGAGGACCCGCGACCAACTCGTTGAGGATGTATGACCCGATTAGGCTTGCCCCGGCACCCAAATTGTAACAAAGTGGAGTAGTATTTAACCCGAATAATATTTTGGATACAATGGCGAAAATCAACGGCCATTGGGATCTGAAACAAAACCCCATAAAGATCGAAGAAACGTAGGGGACACCAAACGCGGTTAAAAGATGGCCAACACACAAAAAGAGAAGCACGAAGGTGAGTATCAGTAGTCGAAATTTGTATTTAGTTAGCAAGATTTATGAGATAAGACCCGACCCGACCCGGCCAAGAAAATTCCAAATGCTCACTAGAGACACAAAGGTGGTGATGCTGGTTCTTGGGGCCGATTTGGCCAAGGTCGTCAATGGCGGTTAGAGTTCCACCTAGGGTCTCGTGCATCCGCTCAACTTATTTTCGTATGCATAATTTCTTTTGTGGAATTAAAAGTGCATCCGACAACGAAGGATGCTTCTTGATATTATAAAATAATGTAGTTATTGGAGATGTTGTAATGTAATTTGAATGTTCAACATCTACTCATTTAAGGGCTTAACTGTAATTTCATGAATTTAAATAATTATAATTGTGGCCTAATTGGCATTCTTAAAAGTTCAGGGACTATCTTGTATTTTAATAATTGAACAAATTAAGATGAAATAAAAAGCACGTGATCAAACCCATATCCAGTATCCGGATCCGAACACCACCCCATTTTGATTATTGTTTTCCCAAGTGGGCTCGGCCCAATCACAAGCCTGGCAGCAAGTCAGCAACAAACTTGGCCCAAATGAACCAGGTTTACGATCTGTTTATTAACATGATGGTTTACCAGTGGTAATATAGAAAATAACCTTTGAGATTGGCTCTAAAGGTCAAAAGTATCGGAAGGTCCCAGGTTCAAATCCAAGGAGAAATAAAAATCCTCTTGTGACCATGAAGGTTCAAATGCGGTGCCTCTGGACTATCTGCAAAAGAGATGGACGTCCTGGATTAGTCCTTGCATAGCGAGTTGGATATTCAAGTTAATAACAAAAATAACTTATTAAGTAAGGTTTTTTTGGAAGGGCGTCCGAATGACCCTTGGAAAGGAAACTGAACCAAGATTTGCTTAAACTAAATTCAACACACTGTGACTACCATAAATTAGTTCTGATAAATTCATTGACCACAATTGTTAAGTATGTTTGGGATCGAATCCTAGGTAAATGAGATATTCCACCACATCTCCAAGGATCTCAACCACTATACCACAACCCTTGTGGTTTTGTTTATTAAGCTTTTAGGATGAGTTTTATACAGAAAGACACGTTTCTTTTTCCATACCTGCCCCTCCAAGCAGGTGCACATTTAAGGTGGATCAAAGGCTCTCAAAGTCGTTCGATGTGTTTTTAGCAGATTTCACCATTTATACGGATTTTTGAAGTTTTTTGGTTGATTTTGAGAGACTTTTTCGGTTTTTTGGTCGATATGTCTTATATTTTCTAATATTTCGAAGCACCCTTTTACACCTAATAAAAAAAAAAAATTATATTTACAAAAATAAGTTGAATGGATGCACGTAAAACCCGCTTGAACATACATAGGTCCGCCCCTGTTACCAACAATACATTTTATGACGACTCTTAGCGGTATGGTTGGGTTCACGTAAGACCAAAGGTTTTTCGTGAGACCCATAAGACTAATTTATGTTCATTGATCAACCTTATAAGCTAACGATCTAATGGTCTAAAGTTGTACGGTGATAATTTTGTGGTTACTGAGAAGTCTCGTGGCAATTTTGTGATTATGAATGTTCAGATTATAGATCTAATCAAAGGGTTGAAAATCGGTGACAATTGGTCTTACGGATCTTATGAAAAACCTTTGGTCTCGCGTGATCCCAAGTTCTTATCCAGTAAATGCTTGTTTGTTAAATGATTGAATTGTTAGCAAGTTGAATAAAATCTGGAAGTGGTTTATGAAATGATGATTTAGTATATGATTAAAGGAGTCAACTTTATTAGGAAAGTGTCATGAATAATCTCATTGTCCCTTTCAACCTCCCTTCCGCCATTTCAAATAACTTTGCACTCACCTTCACTCTCTCTCCATTCTTTATATTGATCGCCACAAATCATCTCCGCCCTCTCGCCGGATCGGAAACTATCGCTCACCGCATGCATTCCATTTCTTCACCGTCATCAACCGACTCCACTTTTATAAACTCCCCTAACGGTATAACACACCCCTTTTACTTTTTCTTCATTCTTTATCGCTAAAACGACTGATTTAGGGTTTTATTTGCTCCCCGTGTTTTGGTTGACTAACAATTATTTGGAGGAAATTAGGATTAGTTGTCTTACTGGATTGATTTGATTGGATTACCATACAAATATGTTGAACAAATTTATGAAACGTGGGCAAAAAAAGCCCTCGAAATCCGATACTGATGCTTACGGATATCCTCCTCCTGGAAATCGGAATTCTGAATCTGTTTCTACTTCCAATGTTGTTGTAAACCATGCCTCTCGAGGTGCTGCTGCTCCCGGCCCTAACAATTTGGGGCAACAGCAACCGCTGGCCGGTGGAGCAGCAGCGGCTCCGCCTCCAACTGGGACTGTTGAAGCTCTGCCTCTATTTAGGGATGTTCCTGTGTCCGAAAGACAACAGTTGTTTTACAGGAAGTGTCGGGTTTGCCGTTTCCAGTTTGATTTTTCGGATACGTTGAAAATGGCTAGGGAGAAGGAGATTAAAAGGATGAATCTTGTGGAGCTTGTGGATTATGTACAATCGGGTTCTGGGAAGATAACCGAGGGTAATCAAGAGGAGATGATTCAAATGATTTCGGTAAACATTTTCAGGTGTTTGCCACCGAGTTCTCATGAACATACGGGGTCTGAGAATATTGAGACAGATGAGGAGGAACCTTATCTTGATCCATCATGGCTGCATTTACAACTAATCTATGAGCTTCTTTTGAGATATGTTGTGTCATCTGATACCGATGCGAAGGTTGCCAAGCGGTACATCAATCATTCCTTTGTTTTGAAGTTATTAGATATGTTTGATTCTGAGGACCCACGGGAACGCGAATATTTGAAAACTGTTCTACACCGGATTTATGGGAAGTTTATGGTACATCGACCATTTATTAGGAAAGCAATCAATAATATCTTTTATCGGTTCATCTATGAAACACAAAGGCATAATGGTATTGGTGAGTTGTTGGAAATACTTGGGAGCATAATAAATGGATTTGCATTGCCAATGAAGGAGGAACACAAGTTGTTTCTTGTTCGGGCACTTATACCACTTCACAAGCCTAAGCCAATTGCTATGTATCATCAACAGCTCTCTTACTGTATCACTCAGTTTGTAGAGAAAGACAACAAGTTGGCGGATACTGTTATAAGGGGTTTGCTAAAGTATTGGCCGGTCACCAACTGTCAAAAGGAGACTCTTTTTCTTGGGGAACTTGAAGAAATTCTCGAGGCAACACAGGCAGCAGAATTCCAGCGCTGCATGGTACCTCTTTTCCGGAAAATAGGTCGGTGTCTTAATAGCCCTCATTTTCAGGTATGAAAACTACATTATCTTATTTTTATATAATTTAGGAACTTTTCTGTTGTGTCATTACGTTAAACTGTTATGGAATGTTGTTTTTGTCATCTATATTATTTGTCGGTGCATAGGGATAATGCTTGTAAGATCTTTTTTAGTCACTTGATTTCGAGGAGTCTGTTATTAGATACTTTTGCATTTGGTTAATTATTCTAAATTTGCTGTTACTCGGGTTCCTTGATGCTTACGTATTGTTTTAACGGTAACTCCTATTACTTGATGCTGATTGTTCTCAAAAATAGAAAATTTTGTTTCCAGGCAAGTGACTTAATTTCTTGACCAATGAATGAGAAGAGAATTTGACCATCTAGAGCTATTTTTGGGTGTAGTAACTAGTAAGCAAAGAACTCCCATTATTTTAGGATTGCTTTTTAGATCCCTCTTTTAAGGCATGTGACCTTTTGGCAAGTTGTTGTGTTGTGGGTTTTTGATGTTTAGCATCCTTATATTTTCATTATCATTAGCTGATATTGTCTAATCCAATTTTGTTGTATGCATAATTTTGTGGTAGTTAAACTGTTTTGATAGGTGCACAGTAGGTGTGAGGTCCATTAAGGCATAAGTTTGGGCCTTGTCTTGGCTAACCGACTAAGGCGCTGTTTGGTTGGTTTTCCATCAAGTCCTCTTATGGGTAAAGCTGTATGTGTGGATTACTCTATCTTTATAGATTGGGAAGGTTTTTGTTTGGGAGGGTTTTTACATAGATGAAAGGAGCGTGTTTTTTATAATAGAAGGGGCAGGTTCAGAACAAACTTGGCTTTCTGCATAAGCTCCTCCTAGAAGCTTTTAGAATAAGCGACTTTCTATATCATTAAGCCACTACCAGACAAGTCATGTATAGTTAACCGAATAAGTTGTGACTTGTGAGTCCCATTAAGCTGCTAATAAACGGACCTTAAGCTCTTAGTCTTTCGTGAGGAGTATAGCTCAGCCTCTAACGCGCAAGAAACAATGCACGAGATTTATTGAAGCATGGTTATAAGTCTTTTTCAGCCCATGTCTGGAATAAGAAATATTGTGTCTTGGGAACTTATTTGTTTTTGTGATTCTTAATCTATGTAAAAAAAATTCAACTAATGGAAAAGATAAAAAGATTGATTACTCAAATTTAGGGCTCTGTTCCGACTCATATAAGCTTCCCATCTTTTTACCTATCCCCTTTTGTCTTTGATGATTTTATTTATAGGCCATGGTTAATTTAAAATGTTGATTTCAGTGGATGATTCTCTAATTGATATTAATTGACTGTCAATGGTTAGTGTTGGTTGTAATTGATGTTAGTATTTATGTTCAATTGCTAATTTATGGTACCTTAATTGAATATTAGTGGTTCTTTATATATAGTTGTTGATGTACATACATATCAATAACATATGTATTGATGCTTTCATAAATTTGATACTTTAGGTAGATATGAATCTTTACCCATTTAATAATTCGCTGTCTCTCTGTGTATATACATATATATACACACACACACACATATGTATATTCGTGTGTGTGTGTTTGTAAGTGATATGCCTCGCTTTGTTGAGGTGTGGGGCTTGCCTTGTATTTTACACGGAGGTGGCCGGTACACGTGTCTTTGTATACGATAATTTGGTAGTTGACAAATCCATAATGAAACAATCACAATTTCTCTTTCTGAATTTAAGTCCAATGTCTCATTTTCATATCATAATTTGAATTTTTTGTGTGGTTGCAAGATAATAATAGTCCCTTCATCCTATGAAAATTGCAATGTTGACCGGATACATGATTTAAGAAAATCTTAGACTTTTGGTCTAACCTCTAAAGTACCCTTCAGTAGTGACCAATCATAGGGGATCTTATGGAACAAAAACAATAACATCATTATCTTGTGATGATGATGATGATGGACTTTTAGGTGACTTTAGCTTTCAAATTTGTGAACAAAGTTAGCATTGTAATTGTCACAGGATAAAGGGTAAAATAGGAAAAGTTAGTTGTCCAAGGCGTGATTGTATCTATAATCTTTTGTCAAAGAATTTTATATGATCTTGATGTTATTGACTTCTTGTTTTTATTCATTAGTTTGTTTAGTCAATCCGAATCAGCTATATGTTATTTTTATCGAGGGTACCTTTTGTTAGATGTAACTAATTATGATTCATCGAAAATTTATTTTACGTATGCCATTTCTACTCCCAAATGGTTGTGTTTGCAAATATGTTCGTATAGTTGTGCAAGCCTCGTGATTTCGATATTCTTATGAAAAATTGATGGTCTTAGTGGTGTAACTTTATTGCGTGAGAGCATATTTTTGGACCGTCGATATATTTGAAGTCACAAAGTTTAAGCATCAAGTGTTGCATATGTTTGTAGGAAAAGGAGGGATGTGGTATTATGTAAGCTTGTAATACACTTTGAACATGGGCTTTTGAATAACTTAAGATAATAAAACGCTTTTAGTACGAGTAGAAATAAGGTAGAGTATGTGAAATAAAAATTGAGCCTTCAGAGGAACACAATGCAAGACATCGCACAAGATATTTACTAGCCATATGTTCTCTCACGTAGGGTCAATTATATGGGAGGGAGATCCAGAATGCTGCTAGACACACACACAGAGACACACACATATAGAGAGAGAGGAAAGTTTAGTTGCAAACCTTTTTTCCTTTGTGAAGCGGGGGACAAAGGGGAGCGCGACATCCGTCCAATCTGTACCCATTCATCATGAATAGTGAACGTGAATTTTTTACAACGTTCATGATGTGAATGTTGCACAATTCATGATGAATGATACACCATTCATGATGAATATTCCGTGAACGTTTGCCACATAGGGCACACTCTCATTCGTCCCCTTCAGTTCACAACAGAAGTTGGGTTTGCAATACACACACACACAGATACATACATACATATATATGTACACACACACACACACACACATATATATATATATATAAAGCTGGATTGAATAGAAGTGATATGGGGTTTGTCAGAATAGATAAAGAAGATCTTGGAAATTGCATGGTTATTTACACACATAGTCAAATAAAAGTATTAATCAAATATATACAGACTGCAAAAACGATCGTAATCAAAACACCACCTAGTTTGTCATCTGGTTGCCAACATATACCAAAGTGTATTTAATCAAAGTATGAGGTATATAATGAAAATGTAACCTAATCAACAAAAACACACCATTTATCCGTAGTCTTAAACATTGAAAAAAAGAAGCAAACTTCATCATCCGGGCTGAAAGAAATGATTTTTATAGTCAGGCGAGCGAGAACATTGAACTGCATATTTTTCTTTGATTTTATCTTTCATTTTATGTTTGGAGATCATGTTGCCTGATTCTACTACTTATTATGTTGGAGCACACATACTTTTCCTTCTTAGCACAAATAGCTCCATTAGTAGGGAGATCAGCCCCTTTCCGCAAAACTCTGCTCAATCACTTTTGTAGAGAGGAAACCATGAGATGGTTTTTTTTTTTTTTTGTGTGTGTGTGTTTCCTCCATTTTTCCTCCGTTATCAAGGAGTGACAAACAAGATACAGAGAAAGAAACAAAGGAAACAACAAACTATGTGTGTGTGTGTTTTTCGTCCGTTATCAAGTATATTTCAATTTGACCCCTAACACAATCCCTGTTCATCAGTCAATCGAATGGTAGAGTGATGGAACTGTTTTGATTGCAATCCTATTGAAAATTGGCGCAATAAATCTTTTCTTTAGAGGATGTACTTGAAAACATTGGTGAAAATCTATCCATTTTGCCTATGGAGTATAGAATTGGTAATTGCCATTGTGGATAAGGAATGGTTTGCGTCTGTAGAAGTAACTAGTATTGAAACCGACCGTCTTAAAAATATTAAAAATAGCAAATTCATTTGATAGTTGATAGATGGTAAAAGTTGTTTGGTTTGTGGAAAAAATTGAGGGAAAAATGGTGTAGATGACATTTTGTATTATGTCATTTAAAGAAGAGTGTATTTTTAACAAAATCATGTGGATATATGTGTGTATATATTCTTAGGTATGCATGTACATATATACATATACACAAGCATGTTAGTTTGTAGAGATCTTTATACATATGTATATGTGCACACACATTCATATTTTTGTATATGCACATATGTATATGTATATTTGTGTATGTATACATACATATATGTTTTGATATTTATATGTATACATACTCTCTCACATGTATATGTATATGCATTTATATATGTATGTATATGTCTAAATGGTTAGACACTTATGTCTATATTTGCTAATATTTATGAAGGAAACAAGTTGTTGGGAGCAATCTCTAGTGAAGATTGAACATTAATTTCTAACTAGGCCAGGTTGAAGCAAAATTTCTAGATGCTTCTGTGAGGTTTTGCACTTCCATCATTGCAAAATTTGTAACTTAGAATTTGTACATAGATCTCTTCCCCTGTTCAACAAAATTTTTGGGGGATCAGGAATGTACTACAATTCCGTTTAACACTCAAAAATCCTTTTTGGGCATGCAAAAGGCGTTAATAGGTCCACCCCTGTTCTTTTTGACAAATATTTTTGGAGGAATGCACTACAAACTAACATGCTTGTGTATATGTATATGTACGTATCTATATCTGTATCTGTACAGTAAGAAGTCCAAGGTCTGCCTGATCTTATGGGTTATCCCTTCTTTGCCATAAACCAATGCTCTAATAAGCTGCCTTGCTCGCAGTGCTTCTCTGCTAACACTACTTCAATAACCTGATCGGTATGATAAAAAGAGTTTTTACTTCATCAATTTTTATTTGACGCCAATTTTAGACCGAGGATCTGTTTACCAACACAAATTGAGTAGGCGCTAATCGGGTACGATTGTGTTCTTGGTCAGCACTAATAATTGACCGAGTAAGAGTCATCTCAGCTTACCAGGTCAGCATCATCGATGGGTATAAACAACATCATCTCTGACTATGTAATCGCCTCTTACCCGGTAAGAGGTGAGAGATGGCAGTAAACAGTTAGTAAGCAACCCTTAAGGGCTTGTTTGTTAGTAGCTTATTGAGCTTAATGGGACTCATAGCTTATTCGGTTAGCTATAAATGACTGTTTGTAGTGGCTTATTCAGTAAGCTTTTAGGGGGAGCTTAATGCCGAAAGCCTGGTTTTTTTTTCAAACCTGCCAATCCCAATTAAAAAGACGTTCCTTCAATCTATGACAAAACTCTCCCTAACAAAAACCTTCCCGATCTATACTGACAGATCAATCCATATGGACAGCTTTATTCCTAGAGTATTTAATCAAAAACCAATCAAACAAGCCCTTTGTCAATCAACACCTATTCATTCAATTTTATCAAATAGTGCCCAACATATTCTTTGGTATTGGAAAATACATTGACCATCCACCGTCAAGAGCCGATCTTAAAGTTATACTCATACCCAATACATGGTGTAGTATTTCCATTAAAATTCATGCCCTTTTTTTTGACAAGCTTATAAATATATGTATTTAACTCTCTGAAATACCGTTCTCAGACAGCAGAACGAGCTCTTTTCCTGTGGAACAACGAGCACATTGTTAGCTTGATTGCTCAGAACCGGAACGTGATTCTGCCCATCATCTTTGAATCACTGGAGAAGAACGTCGAATCTCACTGGAATCAAGTGGTGCATGGACTGACAGTGAACGTTCGTAAAATGTTCCAAGAAATGGACGTGAAGCTGTTCGAAGAGTGCCAGAAACAGTATGCCGAGAAAGAGGCGAATGCCAGAGAAGCGGAAGAGCAACGCAGACTAACGTGGCAGAAATTAGCCGATGCAGGTACGGCTCGCCAAACATGCTGAGAGATCTACATTGCTGTTTAATCCTGTGCTTAAAAACATGACAGATTATAAAGGCAAAAGAAGCAATGTATGTAATTCTAGAAGTAGACAGCTGCAGGCATATTAATATAAACTTCTTTTTTTTCAAATGGTTTCTCTTTGGATATGTTGTTTGCTTTGTGGCTGAAGAAGAGAAGTGTCAAAAGCTTGTGTGAATTTTCTTTATGATGATGAATTAGGTGAAATGGGCATGTCTTATTAGATATTGGTTTTAGAAGAACAACAGTATCTGGATTACTGTAAATCCTAACTTATCTAGATTTTAATGGTTTAAACTTCATCAGTGGTGAGTAATGTATGAGTATTTGTCATATATAAATATTATATACTCTATACCGGGATGGAGACTTTCTTTTAAGAATTCTTTAAACCGTGAGATCTCCCTGAGAATTCCATATGATTTTTTCATCTAAAACTAGAATTTAATGTATTAACATATATTTGTTTCACAATGTGTTTATTTCACATGGAATTATATCACAGTGTGAACCTTTTTGGCGTTTCACATTATGAACTGAACACATACGAAACAAATATATGTTAATCAATGTATTAAATACTATTCTTTAATGAAAAAAAAAATCATATAAAATATAATTTAAGGTAGAAGTTCTCACAGATCTAACAAATTTTGAAGTTTTTCAAATGACTAAACCCCTTTAGATTAATGCTAGAAGGATACTCGCGCAATGCAGCGAGATACATCGAGACAATATTTAGTTTTATTTTTGTCGATATAATTTGGTTTTAGAAAAAACGATAGTGTTTTTATTCATAAAAAATTGAAAAAAAATATATCGATATTAGTATCAAATTAATTTTTAAAAATTCTCGTTTTTTATGTAATTTCTTTAATTTAATTTTTTTAATCATAATTTAATTTAGGTTTAATAATAAAGTAATTTATTTTGGTTTAATAATATAATTTTTATAAGAATAATAATTAAGTATTCTGTTATAAGTATAACTC